ATATATATATATATATATATATATATATATATATATATATATATATAACTTCTGAAGCATGGGTATAACAGTAAATGGATCCCAAATATGAAGGGAATGGTCAATAGAAATCATTCCTGCTTCCCATAGAGTGTAATGTAGGGGTGTGGCAGTTTAGAGTGGCAGGTTAGAAATAACCACACCTTAATAGAATGCTGGAGATTGGTCTAATGCATCTTACTAGTCCTCAAGATCTGGGCACACCTACCCATGTTATATAAACCTAAACCTACCTGATTGGCTAATTATATGACCTAAATCTGGGCAGGGCAAACCAAGGTAGGCATGGCTAAGGTTTCCGAGCTTGAGAGGACAGAATCACAAGAGACAGATGGATGGGAAGAGAAAAGGAAGGAGGACATCATGTTAGGTTAGGTTGAGAAGAAACCACTTGGGTGAGGAGAAAGATTCCAATAATGGCATGAGAAGGCCCAAATGAAGACAAGAAGCAAGTATCATGGAATAATGTATGGAGGGTAGACCAGATGAGGAGGATTAAAGTGGATGGCCTTGGATCCAGGCTGGGAGATAGATAGTGAAGTTAGTGAGCCAGAGAAAGGGAAATACCTGCCCAGCCCAAGGTAAATAAGGCAATTAGAAAATCTAACAAATGTCTGTGTCTTATTACTTGTGAGAGTGGGTTAAATAATACCACCATGATAATCTTAGGGCAAATAATAAACTTTATTAATCCCAAGACTCATCTTTTTATTTTTTATTTACTACAGCAGTAAAGAATGGAGCCTGCACTAAGTATGAGCAGCTACTATTGGAATACACATTTCCTGATGAAACAAAAACAAATGCTGATAGAGCAAAATAAATCACACACATTAGCGGGGATATGATAGATTTGGTGCTACTTTTACTGATAACTAGAGATATTTGCTTGACAATCAAACTTGTACTAGTGGCTGGTGGCAGAGATGAAGTGAAACCTTGCTCTGTGTACTACTGACATTGAACTCATAAATGGCGGACACTTACAGCTCATTTCAAGTCGGATGAAGTCTTTAATGCCAAGGTTTTCTAGGAAAACTCCAGACAAAGCGGTGGTTTTAAAGAAGAAGGAAATGTCAGCGCTGAATTCTGCGTGGAAGGTCGGAAAGTGGAGGTAAGAAGCTTCCGTAGAAAACGAGACAGAATTCCAGAAGTGTCCTGCAAAGCAGACAGTTCTTAAACATGGCTTGTTTGTTTTCAGAGAGGTATGAAGAAGCAATGGGCTTGTGGGTAGTTTTCATGACTAGGGTTACACTGAAGGGAAAAGATTTAAGGGAACCAAAAAATCTTGTTCTCATGAAATTCAGACAAGGGGGGGGGGGTTTGTACTCACGGTCACCATAGCAACGCAAGGGGCCAATTCTCAAAGCGGCTTCTGAGTTTGATCTGTTGATATCAGTGATAATTATCTGAGTTACAGGCAAGTGATCTTTGAAGGAAAGCACACCAGTATCATTTGTCCTGAAAAATATAAATTTAAGGTGGAAAAGGATAAAATCTAGATTATCTAAGGATTCTGTGCCAAGACCCCTCTTTTGCGAAGCTACTTGAACTGGATGCAACCTGGCTAGGGCTGGAAGGAGCATAACAGAAGGTCTATTTCAGAGCCTTTGTGAATAGTTGGAATATCATTTACAACCCATGGCAGAACCCATGGTCTGCTTCCAAACACCACTGGAATTTATATCTTTCCTAACTGAACTTGCAGGAGCATAGGTAGTTTAGAAAGATCACAGTGCTGATTGGCCAAGAGGACCTGAATGCTCATTGCAGTGGGCTGTCTCTGACATGGACTCCCTCTGAATGTCATTTCCCTTGCAGGGCTGCTTTGTCTTGCCTCAGTGAAAAAGGAGTCTCTTAGTCTTGATGCTACTTGACCTGCCAGGGTGGGTTGGTTCTCAGAGGTGGGGATAGGAGGTGGGGGACTGAGTATGGAGGGAGAGAGAGGATGGGACTGGGAGGAGAGGATGGAGAGAGGTTGTGATTGGGATGTAAAAATGAACAAATAATTAAGAAAAAGAAATGCTTTCCTCCTTTTTGATTGCTGAGTAGCAGGCAAGTGTGGGATCTAGAAAAGATCATTCTGAGTGAAGTATCCCAGAAGGAGAAAGACAAACATGGTATATACTCGCTTATATAGACCTACAAGATATGATAAACATAATGAAATCTACACACCTAAAGAAGATAATCAAGAAAGTGGACACAGACGAAGATGATCAATCCTCATTTAGAAAGACAAATGGGGTGCGCATTGAACATATGACAGGAGTCTACCACAAAAGGCAGCTAGGTAGCTGACTCTACCTAGCAGTGTTTCAAAGCAGACACTAAGACTCATAACCAAACCCTCGGCAGAGTGCAGTGAATTATATGAAAGAAGGGGAGTTAGTATGATATGGAAAGGATTGGAGCTCTACAAGGACCAAATATATCCGGGCACAGGGTCTTTTCTGAGACTGACACTCAACCAAGGACCATCTATGGATATAACCTAGAACTTCTGCTCGGATGTGGCCCGTGGTAGCTCAGTAACCAAGTAGTTTTCCAAAGTAAGGGGAACAGGGACTATTTCTAACAGGATCTCAAGGGCAGGCTCTTTGACCCCCTGCCGCCAGGGGAGGAGCAGTCCTATTAAGCCACAGAGGAGGACTTTGCAGCCAGCCTTGAAGATACCTGATAAAACAGGGTCAAATGAAAGGGGAGGAGGTCCTCCCCTATCAGTGGACTTGGAAAGGGGCAGGGAGGAGACAGGGAGGGAGTGTGGGGTTGGGGAGGGAATGAGGGAGTGGGATACAGCTGGGACACAGAGTTAACAAAATGTAACTAAAAAGAAAAATAAAATTTAAAAAAAAAGAAAAAGAAATGCAAATTGGGAAACAAACAAACAAACAAAAACCCCCTTCACTTCACTTTGCAAAGAAGATCTTTTATCTCAGGAACTAACCTGAAAAGAGACATCACAAATCCCTCTCAAAAGTCACTCATAAAACTTGGCTGAACCACTTGCCAAAAGGTTTAAATCAGTTTTAGATGTCCCTTATCATCTTTTAAATTGTGTTTAAATCTCTATTAGTTAGTTGATTGCTTTTGCTTTGTTCTTTAGAAAGATTTTGCTGGTTAATGTGTCTGGCTTTGTTCTTGTTAATTATTCAAATAAAAATCACTAGTTTCCTTTTGACAGAAAAAAATAGAGAAAGCCAATCTTTTCTCCTTTTTTAAAGCTGGATTTCTGAATCAAAATGATCCATAAAATTTGGAAGTACAAACCTGGCACTGTGGAGCTGTGGTGACAGCTCAATCAGTCCAATATACTTGGTGTGTGAGCATGGACACCTGGTTCTGGATCTTCTGAACCTACACAAACCAGATGCCCTTGTGGCGCTTACTTTACTCAAGACAGGCAGACCTCTGGGGCCTGCTGGCCAGCCAACTTCACTGAATTGGTGAGATCAAGGCCAATGAGAAGCCCTGTTTCAAAAAATTAGATGTACTTTACAGTACCCAAAGAGTAACAACAGCAGCTGACTTCTGGCTTCCACATGCACACTCATACATGTTCATGTGCACCTTTACACACCAAGAAAAAATGTGCATATACATAGTACATGTACACACAAGGAAGAGCTAGAAAAAGTATTGCAGGGGCTAGATGTTCTCCAAGTACACAGTATTCATGTACAACATTTGCAAACAATAGATAAAAAACAATGCTTTATAAATAACAATACAAATTCAATTAAAATGAACAAATTGCCATTGATCATGTAAATACTTTCAAGGAGAAATATGCTATGGACAGCCATAATCTTTGCACACTCATTTTTTCCACGTAGTGTGTGTGTATCACTATGCCCATTTACTAATGTTGATACTTTCTTAGAGGCACTGAGGAGTTTCTTAACATCACATGATAGAAAGCACAGAAACCAAGGCACCGTTTTGCTTTCCTCAGTATGTGTCTCTCTGTTTGAGGGCATGCTTTAGAGCTAACAGTTCCTAGCTTTGTAGTGTGAGTGAGTAATATCCTTTATGAGATACTTGGTGTATTGCATGCACATCTGAATAGTGGCTTGGAGAGGATTAAATGGGATTTACAGCTGCTGGGCACAGTGTCTTGTCTGTGTTGAATGCCATAAACTAGTCTCCCTGACACTTATTTTAGTTTTCTTTTTTGTCCCTGAAGTACTCAGTGGCCTCAGGGAACTTATTTCATAGGCATTCAGCTATGACCCTGGATTGGGGAGTTCTTGCTGCATAGTGCATATGGAAAATTAAATTTTGAGATTTAGAATTGAGATCATGATATTTGGAGAATGACACCTAATGATTTATCTAGGTTATAAAAAAGTCAAATACCCACTGGAACCATTCCCCTACAGCCCTGTTTAAAATTACAGAGGAATACATACTATAATATCTGTAATTTTAATGCTTGTATTTAGAAGACATTCAAATGATAAGGCTTTGTGTCAGCTAAAAAGGCACCTGTGCATGTTGTACACACACAAAAAATATATTTGCATTTTTTGTTCCAGTTTATTCACATGTAGAGACTGGAAAGCAGAGCTCAAACACCGGCAGTAAAGACTAAACCCAGTCTCCCCCATGAAGGAACCATGAGATTCTAGGTTGTCCTTACTTTTCCCCATTTTCATTGCACAGGCTGGGTTTTGAAATCTGTCCATTAATGCTGACTTGTGCTTCCCTTGGGCATGATGACATCTTGTCTATATCCATTTGATGCTCTTGAATCAGCAGATGGCATATATTAAAAAACATGCTAAATATAAAAAGCTCTTCCAAATAATGTAGGAAAATTTGAATTTGGTATGATGATGAAACTCACATTGTCAGGAATGATTTTTAGATGGAAACTTAAAACAATACAAATAGTCCATGATCCCTTCCCAGGGAATAATGTTTTCCATAGTGAACTGGGCCATTGTACATCAATCAACAATTAAGACAATCCCCTACCAGGTCAACCTGATAAAATCCTCATTTAAAACTCTTCCCTGTAATTGTAGGTTATAGAAAGTTGAAATATAAATCAAGCAACCACATTGCTAAATACAACTGGTTTATACCAGTGAATAAAGACATACATTGAGTCATCTGCATGTAAGAAACTTTGTGTCACAATTGTTTACCATGCAACTTACTAGTTTTGTCACGTAATCCCCTTGTGCTCTGACTGACACCGATGGAATGCATAGAGGCATTTACTTCTGGCACTGCTGGTCATTTCTGCTTTCACAACTAAGCTTTGTTAAGCAAATGCCACTTCTGAAACCCTTCTTCTCAGGGTACAGGATGTGAAATCAAATGACCACGTTGTGAACCCAAGAATGGATTCCCAGTTATTAGCACATTAGTGTGGGAACACACTCGCTGATTTCAACTGGCAGAGATCAGCTCCTCCTGGCTGGAAGCTGGCACATCACTGTGAGGGTACCATCTTCTCTCCACGTGGTTGCACTCATGGCAACGTCCTTGACTCCCTGAGCTGTCCTTAATCAGTCCCTGGCTAAATGTCCCCATTCTATTCACATAGGCTTTCTCCATACACAACACAATTCTATTGATTGGGTTTCACTTTGCTAATTTGCAATCATTTCAAGACTGGCTCCTTAACATTACACTTAGGTCACCTTGGCAGATGCTATGGGAGACCACAGCCTCCTTGGTTACACACTCACAGCTCTTTTGCTTTGTTCAGACATAACAGGTCCATCACTGCACAGTAAATTTACCAGAATCTCACTTTGGGGTATGTCAGACTTCTCAAAATTATTGCTTTATTCCATGTAGAATTTGATAGTTGACAGAAATTTTATTTTTCTGCCATTCCTTTCTTAGTGTTCAACCTTATATTTCACATATATATTTATTTATGGTTTTAATAAACATAAATTTAATATACAAACCAAGTTTGCCTCTTATGGTTGATTTAGAACTTAATAATATTACAGAAAATAATAATATAAACGACAACACACTTCTTCAAAACTGACTTCATGCCACATATGATAGATGTGAAGATTATTTGCTAACTCAGCTGGTAATCTCCAGAGACAGATACTTAACCTTTTTCCATTTAAAAAACAATCTGGATATTAAGCTCCAAGAAGCTTAATTACTTAGATTCTTTAGCAAACAAATGATACATGTAATATTTGATAATCCTGTTCGATAACAAAAAATTTAGTTAGGGATATATTACAGTTAGTATTTAGCCTATGACAGTGTTACCAGAAAAAAAGGAATATTTGCATGTGATAGGTGGGTAATCAGCTAACAATATTAGTGCTGTACATGTGCTAATAAGATACTATTCGCTCTTCTCCTTGTTCATAATGAAAACTGAATTTTATACACACAGTCATTGGGATTGTCTGAAGTAAGCTCTATGTGTTTTCATGGGCTGTGGAAGCACAAGAAAAAATGAGATGACATCA